ATGAAAATACAAGGAACAGAGTAAACAGGTAGGCCTAGTAATTGACTCCTTGGTGACTAAGGAAGCCAACTCTGTTTAAACAAAGTTGACAAAGTAAAATAACAGTTGATTGAGCATGCTGCCTGTGCCATTGGGTTAATGCTCCATCCAAAGTATATATAGATAAAGAAAAAAAGTGATCAGCAATATGAAAAGTGAACTTTGCATAAAGTATTGCATGGGCAGGTAACCATATACTTATATATTAAACCTTCTGCTGCTGGGGATGGCATGTATATACATGCCATGCCCACAGTGAGTTTAGATTATTAATTGTCCTTACACATAGATGGCTCCACTAATACGAAGTCACCAATGAGCCAGTTAAAAGTACTACCTTTCTTGCATGTCTACCCTTATCCTTGATTTTTTAAGGTATTTTCTGGTATCTTATATTGCTGTTTATAATGTTAATAACATTATGATAATTATGATATATGTAATAATAATAACAGGATTGATATTCATAGTATTAGTTAAAAAATATATATATTTTCCTGCAAATTCACAGAAAAGTGAAATCAGGAGGTTACAAGGTCAACTAATTGACTAATTTGTGGCTGAGCACTTGTGGAGCCATCTATGTGCAAAGACCTTTCACAAAACAGTACCACAGTGAACACAACATTGTCCCTGCAATGTGGGTTTAACTGTGTTATTGTTACTTAGTATATGAATTAGTCCAGAAAATAGAAGTTGGAGGAAAGTATATTTGTGATCTGTAAATATTTAGCTGTTGATATTGTAACCAAAGGGTTGAGAACTAAGAGCAGGTATATTTGTTCTGTTAGTCAGTGTGTAAAACCATCAGAAAGTTATCAGGTTAAAGGAATGTTATGCTCTACCCTTTTTCTGCTTCAGCTCACTGTCAGAATGACCTTATGCTTTCTATAACTGCTTTTGCCTTAAAACAGAACTTTTGTAATTATTTCTAAGGTCAATACACCTCTTAGAGTAGAATTCTGCATACTAACTATGCTTGTAGACTATTCCACTGATAGTATGAATTGTGTTTTTGATAACTGAATGATTGTGGTTGTAGAACTTGATCCTTTTTCTACCCTTCCAATTCTCTAGGTGGAAAGCAATGATGTTGCTTGATTTATTAATTTTGTTTTGCATTTCTTTATTGTTTGTTCTTTTTCAAAATTATTTTTTGTTAATCTCATTCCCCCTGGTTTTAAATGTCCTTATGGAGAAATGTATCAATTCAGGTCAAAGATGGTGACCCTGTGCTCAGCAGTGGGGGGAAGAGTGACAGCTTGACCAGCCCAACCACCACCTTGTCCATCAGTCCCCAAGGGCTCTCTGTGCAGGGCTCTCAAGAGGGATCACCCAGCTCCCCCGGGGACAGGGAGCACAATATCAAGCCTCTCCTGGTTCTGCCTTTTAAGTTTGGAGGTGAGGGCCTTGCCATTCCTAATGTGGATTCTGTTTGTGCCCTCAAGGCATGTGGAGGGAATGGCTTGAATACACACCCTTCAGAAGTACTTAGATGTTAATCATATAATGACAGTGGATGGGAAGCCAGTGTGATCCTAGAATTGGTATAAATGATATTCTTAACAAGAAAGTACTAATATACATTGTGTGCATATTGCAACTGGACCTCTTCAGACAGATTGGTAGTGTCTTACTGTACATTCCCTACATTTAGATGATCATCACTTAGCATTTCAAAATTCTCATAATTATTAGCAATGAAATATATCTCATACGTATTATATTGTACTTTTTAAATGGAAAATGGAATCTGAGCTTAAAGTGAATCATTTTTTTTTTTTTTTTTTTTTTTTTTTCATAGCTTTCATTTGTCTCTTAGGTTCTCCATACCCTAATGAGATTTTAGTATAGTTGAGAATTTAATGTAAATGAAATATAGAAATAAAAATTCAAGCACATTTCAAGAAAGGAGGTATTTTCATTTCACTTATTTGGAACAGGCCTCTGAGAGAGATGCCAGATTGTATGAAAGCTGGTTCCCAGACATGATGCAACTTTTTCTATAAATGCCCTGTCAACAATTCTCATTGTAAGGGAAATAGGATTTCATTGGGAATGCTTTCAGGCAGATTCTGCCACCATTGCTAGAGCTGAAAATTATGGTATAATTCAGAAGTAGCAGTCATATTATAACCAAATAATAAAATCAACCTATCCCAGAACTAGCTTTATTATTATTATTATTATTATTATTATTATTATTATTGTTATTATTATCTACAATATTCTCATTTTGGATAACTTAAAGCCTACTGGTCTTGCATCTAATAATGCAATAACTTAGTGATGATACTTCATAGTAATATATAATTATTGTCAAGCCTTTTTATATTCATGTCTAAACTTTATCTTTCAACAGACTGCACTGCTGCCACAAGTGACAGCACGAGTGCAAACTCTGATAGCATTTCTGAGACATTGGAACCAACTTCATCCTCAAAGGGCTTTCAGCCTCTTGATACAAATTTGATAAATGAGATTCAAGAAAGCCTAACAAAAATTACTGTAGAAGACTCTTCAAGATTATCAGATCAAAATGGTCAGAATGCTCAAGTTGGCTCAGAGAAACCAGAAAAGGAGCATGCAGTAACTCGGAAAATTCCCCGTGAAGCTAATCTCAAGTTGTCCTTGACTGAAAAGATCCAGGACTTTTCTGGAGCTTCACAACCAGCTTCATCAGTAGTTTCAACTCCTTTTGTCACTCCACTGACAACTCCGCAGTCTTCACCCCGCTCCAAGAGAAAGATATCAGGAGTCATTGTAGACCAGGGCAACATGTCTTCCACTCAGAATTACTTTTTCACCAGACCATTTTCAGGATCACAAGACACAGGCTCAGCACTCTCACCTGAGGCTAATACTGTTTCTCTGTCTGCATCAGCATTACAAGGAGCCCAAAAGCTTGAAGATGGAGCAGCTCAAGCACTGAGCATTGACACCTCTCAAATGGTATCTGCTAAAAAGAAACAGAGACCAAAAGCCTCAAAATTAAGAGAAATGAATTTCTGGGCCCCAACCTCTATGTAATAAGGAAATGAAAACGAAGAACACTGTTCAATGAACATGCAAATGCTGATATCATTCGAAAGCCATTGGCTCTTGTAGTAATATATTGATATTGTGGTTAATGTACCTGAGTGATTAGGACATAGTTTTTTTAATTATTTGACAAGAATTAAAAGGGGAAGTAGATATTATCTTACAACTTTTATTAGATTATTGAAAATCTTTGTTGTTGAATTGTTATGTATATGATGATTATATTTACTTATATGCCAGTTTTGTATCTTAAAAAAAATATTTTTTGTAATACCTGTCTTGACATTTGTGGTTTCACCTACTCAAGCTTATTGCTTCATATATCTCTGTAAGGGATTGAGGATTGAGTTGGAATGTTCAGTCTAGTTATTAATGTGTAACTTTAGTTTTATAGGCTGTATTTGACATTCATACAGACACTGATTTTGTAACTCCTTTTACAAAATTAATTTATTGTGCTATGTTATAGAATATAGTTGTAGTTTTCTTTTTCTTATGGACATGAAAGCAAAATATTTGCTAAATTACAGCTGTTTATTTTTGTAAATTTTTGGTTGCATTTTTCTTTCTGAACAAATAATATGATTCGTAAGCATTTTGGAATTTTTTCTTTGATGTTATGATACCTTCTGAAATGTGTGCATTATTAGCAACATTATAGAAATGAGTTGTATTTAGTTGTCTGAAGCTGAGAATATATTTTATTCTTTGAAGTTGAATAGTTAATGTATGCAAATGTTTTATGCTGTCCCATTATTTTGAGATCTTTCTTTCTTCCTCTCTCCCTTCCCTTCCCTTCCCTTCCCTTCCCTTCCCTTCCCTTCCCTTCCCTTCCCTTCCCTTCCCTTCCCTTCCCTTCCCTTCCCTTCCTCACATCCACCCCTTTCAGCCCTCACTCCCTCTTTCCCCCCAGTTCCTCTCTCTTTTCCTTTTGTTCTTCTCCCCCTATTGCCCCTCTCTTTATCCCTCTCTCCCCTTCTGTGGGTGTCGGTGGTATTTTTCTAACAGCATTATGTGTTTTTCAAGGAAGTTAAGTAGGTTTAAGATGTATTGTTAGTTTCTTAAAAGTCTCAACTACATTCATGAATACCTTATGATGTTACTTCCCTTTGTATACTTAAATACTTGACTCTATAAGCTGTAACATTGTTCATGTTGGACGTTCTAGAAGTAGGACAAAGCTTTTATTAAGCTTTTTGTTATTTTATGGTCATCCAAACTTTAGTGGACAATGCCATATTTTTAGTTAAGGCATGCAAATTTTCTCATTTCTGTCAACATTAAATCTATCTATCTCTCTCTCTCTCTCTCTCTCTCTCTCTCTCTCTCTCTCTCTCTCTCTCTCTTTCTCCCTCTCTCCCTCTCTCCCTCTCTCCCTCTCTCCCTCTCTCCCTCTCTGTTTCTTTTTTTCTTTTTTTTCTTTTTTTTCTTTCTTTCTCTTTCTCCCTCTCTCCTTTTCCTGCTCGGTTTCTGTCTCTCTCCCAAAATCTCTTTATCTCACTTCACTCTTGCATGCAGTTGCTGTACACATTTCTAGAAGTGTATCTGTTGATTGATAAATATTGATAAATTTGTGTTAGGCTTATTTCTAATACAACAATACTGAAGTCTTTCGTAGTGCATACTCATTCATTTAAAGGGTTGTTCTGTTTGTTTTGAATTGGAAAAATACATGTAGAAATTTAAAGAGTGCTCACACTAGTAAAACATTAAATTATTTTCAGCATTTGATGTCTTTTATACCCCTAAAAACTTTGAATATCAAGAAAGATGTGTGTGTGTATATATATGTATTAGTAAGGTATTTGTATGAAACTAGATAATATAGTTTCACGGTCAGCTATAATGATACATACACTATTTGTGTTTTATGCATGTTAAGAATAAATCGAACTCTACACTGAGGATCTTGATGGAGTCCTGCAGAGGCAATCTGCCATTGAGGTGGATGTTTGGAACAGTTAAGGAACCCAGGTCATTCGGATATGAGATGAGCATCACCTGTATTCTGAAGTGTCTGATTGATGCATGCTTTCATTCATTGATGGTCGTCTCACTTAAATGTAAATGACACCATGCAGTCGTTCGGATATGCAGATGCTACCAGTATGAGTTGCGGGATGTCATTAAACAATATGTTCCAAAGCAGAGGTCTGAGGACGCTTCCTTTGGGTACAGAGGCATTTAGTGGAAGAGTGGTTGCTTACCACCATAGAAATTGAATGGTGCCTGTCAAATGCACCAGGGATATCTAGTGCAATCACATAAGTGTCTTGGCATTCATCTAGGCCTACTCCATGACAATGACTGGACAAGAAGTTGGTCAGTGCTCATCTCTCGCATAACAGCCACACTGTTTCTCGCTCAATAATCGGAGGCCATTGAAGTGCCTGATGAATTTTCTGCAATTATACTTTCAAATATCTAGTCAACAACCGGTTGCTGAGATATAGGCCTATAATTGTTAGAATCTGTCCCTGCAGATTTCTTGTGGATAGCCCCTACTTAACCAGATTTCCACAAACAAGGCGACTGCTTACTTTGCTGACTGGTCAGCACAACCTCAGAGCAGACTAATCTGGTCCCCACCCATAGCTTTGTCTAAATGATCAAGGATTTTCTTGACTTCATCAACTTTAATGCTTATGTTGCCAATGTGGCTGTAGTGTAGAGAGGGATGGATGGGGGAATTAGGTCGAGGTCAGAGGGAATTAGGTCAAGGTCAGACATTTTGCCTGCAAAGTGTGTGGCAAGTACCTGGGCCTTAACTTCACTTATGATTACAGTAGTTTTATCAGGCTTTGTTTATGGGGTATGATGTCGTCCTGAAGTAGGCCTTGTTGCTGTTTTATACAAGTCCACCAGACTTTATCACCAGCAATGCAACCATACAGTTATTGTTGCAGGTTTTTTTTTCCATTTCTCAATTCACCCCCTTTTGCACATGGTGCATATTCTTACAGGCCATATTGTGCCGTTGTTTGTTGTGGTTGGTTGGATGCTAGTTGTATCAGTGCCAGGCTTTACTTTTCTGGTCAACAGCAGTTCGACACTGATAACCAAATCATGGCTGAACCCCTTGACAAGGTATAAAACTGTAATGTTAAGATGTCATTAATATTGGATACCTGGTCACTGATATTGCCACTCAATATTTTATCCCAGTTCACCTGTCTTAGCTGTGGTGTATACTGGCCTATTTGCCTTTATTCTAGAGCCAGTTTGTTCTTGTTGAACTCTCGTCTTGATCCACTTTTGCTATCACCTGTGTGAACAGCAAAGTGGTTGGAGGATCCAACAGTCCCAAATTGGCTACATGTAATTATGTCAGGGCTGAGTTTACTGATGACAGGGTCAAGTGAAGAACCTGAAATATGGTTGGCAAAAGTCCACATGATTTGTTAACTCATGCACAGTCAGCAAACGCTCTGGCGTCAAAATATTGGTGTAGGTCACATGCATGGCTGCATTCATGTGTTTGTTGGAGAGCATCAAGGTGTGACTGCTGATAGGTAAGGGGCTTTTGACCTTGCCACTGGGGCCTGTAGCACACGTAGATCAGAAAAGGTGATTCTTAAGGAACATAATTTCCAGATGATCAGTGATGTTCATAGAGATTACCAGAACCACTAGGTTCTCACAAAGGCAGACAGTGATACCACCATAGGTGCCAACCGCCCTATCGCGTTAGTGCCAGCATGTAATAGTTCTCATTCCTAAAGGTGGCTGGGACAAGCAATAATGTCAGGGTTGTATGGGTTTATAAATCTATATGTTAAATCCCCTATGTTCATCTGAAAAACCCTGACATTGGCTGATATAGTGGATAGGCTACCTGGCATATTACTGTGCACAAGGCCAGGCGTATATTAGATGCCAGCGATGGCTAGTTCGCCGCGTGTTGACTGTTGAGGCTTTTTTATGAATTTGCTTAATGGCTGTATCAACAACTTATAGTTATTGGCCTAGTCGGTAACAAGCTTAGTAAATAAAACTCTTGCCTCTCGTGTTCTTTCCGGTTGTGGCAGTCTTGCCCCAGGTGATCTCTGCGTTGATAGTAAGCACAGGTCAATTTACGTCTCTGTGACCAGTTCGTTTGCACAGTTGGCATTCACTATCTGGCCAGTGGCAGACCTGACATGTACCTGCCCTGTATTACATCTGAACCCTGGTGAGTGGGGGCCTTTGCGGTGCCTGAACACGCCTCTGGGTGACTCAAGATGTTTGTTGTTTGTGGTGGTGCAGGTGTTATTGCTGTTTATATTGATTCTGCTCATTATGCTGTTAACAGCATTACTTTCCTTCCTAACAGAAACGGCAGTTACTCTCTGTAGAGGTTTAGGCTTTTTGGAAGACCATTCACATGCTTTTTGATGACGAGAGAGGTGTTCTTGCCACTCTTCGTCTATTTTGGGGGTCTAGCATTGGCGGCAATAGACCGCACTTCTTGTGCACCTAAACTGGATTTGATTGATGTAGTGTTGTCAATTAGATCCAGGATAGAGACAACAATTTTTTTTCTCAGCCGGATTTTCGGTAGCATATTCAAAGAAATTCAGCTTTTTACGATTCAGCTCGGCTTATAATTATTTTATCATCATTATTAACCGACTAGGCTCGGGACTCAGGAAGTCGCTGTCACTGTCATTTTCGGTAACTTCTGAAGCCTCATTTGTGTCACCTGCTAAAGCAGGCTCTGCCGGTGTCAACGAACATCGCATCGTCATTAAGTCCAACAAGTGTTTGCAAGAAGCCGACTTCCGTGCAATTGAAAATGACACGCTAGGACCGTCTGGAGCTGTGCTGTGATGCGTCTCTTTATGCACTGCCGTTTTACCACAGATAGCGCATCATACACTGGGCGCATACCCTGACAGACTTTTGGGCCGTGCATTCAACTTGATCATGATCATTTTGGGAATGAATGGTGGTCATCTTTGACGACTGGAGCGGAAATGCTGGTTGACGGGGGAGGGGGGGGGGGGCAGCGGGAAAAAATGCCAAGATCTAAAGGTTAAAAGTTCAAAATATTTTTAAAGAAGAAAATATAAGGATTTGGACACACAAAAAGTATTAACATACATCATAAGGTTGGACACTTATGAATAAAAAAAAATAAGATGTATTGAAAAAGAATATTATAAGACTTTAAAAAGTAGATTAAATCAAGTTAGTAAATATAAAAAATATAAATAGATACTTCGATATGCAAAGATAATTTTAAAAGTGAAAAGATAATAAGGATGATCAGTCTGTAAGCTTATTAAAAAAAAAAACAGTGAAAAGGGATGCAATCATGAAAAAGGATGATCAGTTTGTAAGCCCCTTAAAAAAAGAAATTGACCTTCTTGTATAATCAATGGCAATCTCTTTGGTCAATTCTCCGCATTAATAAATTACATACTGTAAAAATATCGATCTCCTCCAGGTCAGCTCCATTTCATCGGAACAGATGTTGGGAGATGTCTCTCGCCCGCTTACGCATTGGCCACACCCGTCTAACACACTCCTAACTGATGTCACAATCCGATCCACCCTTATGTTCCTTATGTAATGTTCCCATTTCAATCGTACACATCCTATTGTCGTGCCCACGTTTTGAAGCAGCCCGTACCTCTGCTTTCCCCCACCTATCCTCCCTTCACCGACCTCCCAACCTATCAGACATCCTTACAGAATCCCACACTTTCTGCATCAACAACCTGTTCTCTTTCCTCAAAAGCATACATATCCTTTATCTAATCTAACACCCGACCTTAACCCTTTGACTCACCAATTCCTTTGCCCAGCTTAGACAACTAATCACTAACTCAACCACCTTTCACTAACATTAACTATAGTGCTACATGACCTTAGATGTCTAGCTACATTTCTAACTATAGTGCTACATGACCTTAGATGTCTAGCACATTTATCTTGCTTTTAACCATTTTTTAAGCCGGTACCTCTGCTTCCCCCCCACCTATCCTCCCTTCACCGTCCTCCCAACCTATTAGACATCCTTACAGAATCTCACACTGTCTGCTTTGACAACCCGTTTTCCTTCCTCAAACGCTTAAATATCCTTCACTTAATCTAACCCAACCTTAACCCATTCACTCACCAATTCCTTTGCCCAGCCTTGAGAACTAATCACTAACTCTACCTCCCTTCACTAACATTTACCACAGTTCTACATGACCTTAGATGTCTAGCACATTTATTTTGCTCTTAACTATTAACCATTAAAAAAAGGAAAAAAAGGTTAAGCGAAAAGGAATGCAGTCATGATTGGTCGGACAGTCAAGCCAGTGACCAAAACCCGAAGCATCTATTACAACTGCTGGCGACAAACACTTGTTCCCTACGTACACTCGCTAAAATAAATATCTTTACTAGGGAGTAGACGAAACCAAAACGATCGCTAGTTGATTCGGAAATGTTGGTACTTGTTATTTTCACCCCCCCAACCCCTTGCTTCTTGTTATCGTGAGGGGGGGGGGGGTCGGGGGATCAGCCCTGCCTTGAGCCACAGCCCTCGCCTCAACTAGTTTTGCATAGTCTTCTCTTTCCTCCTTTCCTTTCCCATTTCTTTCCCACTCCTTCCCTTCTAACAACCTTTCTTTACCGTATACTATACCCCATCAGATCCCCCTTTCTACCTCTTTCATCCTCTAGTGTTGTTCAACCTATAAACTTAACCTAATCATTAACTCATTCCTAACCCTTTTCGCTACTCTAATTTAC